GTCAAACAATTGTCTAACTGGCACTGCGATTTCTAATGGAAGTCGAATGCGTGGCGCATTACAGTATGGATCGTCGCCAATTGGTCCACTATCTTTTTCAATAATTGAATAGTCATTGTTGGGAACTTCAACTAACTATGAGTTGGGAACTATGTTGCGGACTTTAGAAAACCTACTCTGTACGAAATTCCGTAATATTTATTTCATCAACCACTCGAATTTTCATCAATTTTCGGGGTCATTGTGTGGAGTGACGACAAAATTTTGACCTTGCAACCAGAGTCAACCCTGCGTTGCGCAGTTCGCAACGGCACGTTGAGAGATCCTCAACGCACGCTGTATGGGCGGAGACACAGACGGCTCGAGCATGCGAGTGTGAATGTTCGCGCGAGAGAACGTGTCTAATCGGGCGAAACTGCGCAACGTGGCCGTTGAAAACTGCGCAACGCAGGGTTGACTCTGCTTGCAACTATGTAATACTTCGTTTCACCTACATTATGTTTCCTACTGGATAACCTATACCTGGTCTTTCAGTTTGTGATTGGTGCTAATGGTGCATGTGGATTAACCTATGAGCATACACCTGCCGAAGGGCCACCAGTGGCGGCCATGATGGATTTTATCTGTGATAAGTTGTCAGTAAATATTGATCGTATTGATTTTTGGTATAAAGGGAAAATGGACGCATTGCAAGTAGTTTTTTGTAGACTTGGAAAGGGAATTCAATGATGACTCAAGCATAGCCGAAGGCAGAGTTAAGCGATTGGATTTTGAAGCTGAATGATGCCCAAATTCGCTCAAATCAAAAAAAGTGGCAAGAAAATGGATAGGTAAGATTTCAACATGGCAACTTGTGGAATTTCTCCTAGAAACAGCCCACCTATTTTTCAGAGCAGCCGATGACGTTGATGTAGCGGTGTTCTCATACAAGCGATATGGTAAAAATTACCCAAAATCGGTAAACATCTCTCCGGATTCGTTCATTCAAATGGCATTTCAATTAGCATTCTTCAGGATTCATTCCGCATGTAAGTTACCAGGGACTTCATTGAATTCGCTTAGGAGTTTTTACTCCTCTTCTTATTCTCTGAATTAGTAGACCCCTGAACAGTGTGAAACAGGAGAGGTAGGTGGCGGGGGGCGTGGGGGGGGGGAGTTCGCATGCCTCTGATATTGCTTCATCACCCGCTTCCGTTAGAGGTGTGTTCCCACGGTCGTGGGTCTTCCTAATGCTTTGAATAGAAGTTTCTCGCGAAAAGGATACGAGCATTCCGAGATAAAACATAGAGGAACTAGTGAGTGCCTCTTGAGGGGACAGTCCCAAGCTAAGAACATTGTCGGTCATCGACCGATGAAATGAAGATGGAAAACTCAATTTGGCTCAAAAACCAACAAAGGCTTTTGATTTGCGGACCACGTGTGTGCTGTAGAAGTCGCAAGCGAAATAAATCAGAAGTGTTGAGCGTTTACTCTCAGAATATCCCTTAGAATCATAGTCACTGGAAGAAGCTGCAGAGTTCCATTTTATAAAATTTCAAGGTGATTATATTTCCAATTTACAGAATCCCCTAATCACTTGAATTCCCTAAAATGTCATATCCAGAGAGATGACGCACAGCAGCCGCGCGCGCCACAGACCGGCCAGTTTTTTTTTACAAAACTACCAGAGAGAGGTATGGAAGCCAATGTTTATCCTTGCTTCATACCTGAAGAGTTTTATCGAACCATCTATTGCACGAGTTGCTCATCGTTCCACCTCCATGCAGACACTGAAATGTCAATAGTAAAGATCAAACCAAATTACTCAACAACTAAACAAATTCATTTGACGGTGTAGATGAATTCATAGATAAATTAGATGATTCTTTCTTTAGACCATAGCTAAGTGTTTCAATGTAGAGCATTAGTTACCTAACCAGGATTATTTTGCTATACAACCACGATTTTGTCGCATTTCCAAAAACTCGCCTGTCTAGCCTGCTCATCTTTCTCGCTGTAGCCTTTCTCAGGTTCGGATTCCTGATCGAGACATACAACAAACAATGCATCTTCGATTGTTGAAAGATGTGACGAGTTCGTAGGGATTTCCTAAACCAATGAAATTCAGAAGTACAGCTGTATATATCAGTATCTCAGCATTTCACTTACATTTATTAATGTAAAGTGAATTTCGTCGAAAAATCTCATGCAGAGCGTACCTTCGAGTTGCTCGTAGATCTCTGCCCAACGATCACGCTTATCCGATGAAACAATGCCGATAGCATGCGGTTGTCTTTCGCGACTTTGTTTGATAACGTCATTGAAAAGCCCGGAGAGCGCTGATAATGGCAGCGGCTGACCGGCCGCATTCAGTACAGGCATTGAAAAAATCTGAACAAACTGATTTTTGAAAACATTGATATGTGATCTTTGAGGACTAAATATCCAAGAAGAAAACATCCACTAGAAATGATAGTCAATCAGATTTATGGATGAAGTCGAGGAAAAAGAAGAATACAAGTGACAAGGGATTGAAAGCTCAAATAGCACCATAGTGTCAGTCAAGAAGGTCACATTTGGACGACGTGCGCAAAGCGACATACCAGTTGGTATCACAACCAGGGTCAACCGTTACGTTGGACCGATATTGGAGCGACGTTGGACCGATGTTGACCGCTCTCCGCGCCGGCATTCACTCTCGCCACCCGCGAGCCGTCTGTGTCTCCGTGCGTACGTTCACTCTCGGCATTACTCTCGTCGTCGCGTTGGACTTTGTCCAACGGACGGTTGACCCTGATACACACGTCGGAGTCTTGAACCCCTGACCTACCAATTACACTTAGGCGTTGTCTCCTAACACATTGCTCGCATTCTCTATGCAGACCCTACCTCTTTTCAATTATTATTCCTCGAAATTCTGCAAGTATCCTTTTTAGAGGTCTATGCGTCAAACTTCTACAACATCCAAGCAGAAATAACACACAGTTCAAGCCCTAATCTAGTCACAAATCCTTTAACCATTCACAAAAACCACTGCGATATGATGATTAGTCTTCCTTGATGACAAATTCTTCTAAAATTCTTCAAAATCGCATCTGTAGCCATCGTGTGAGAGAACCAGCGCTCCGTGCCTATGTGAATCCCTTTGGTTAGCCTTAGCTTCCCGCACCCACCTTATCGCGGTGTGCGAAACTAATGAGAGTTTAAGACAGACGCAAAACTACGTCCACAGAGCTCGATGCAACTTAATTGAGGCTTTCAGGAGCAGTCAAATCATTCTTATAGCCCTCTTGATCACAAGCTCGAATGAAACATGTTGAAGAACTTGAGGCCGGATTTTTTTGGTCTCATAACGACACATATCTGACGGAAATCATTCAGTCTAAGAAATTATAAACAAATTCATCACTTCACATGATTTCCTAGCGCTTATTGATTTTTAACACATACATTATTAAAGTTATAAGAGCTTGGGGAGCGTATAAGAACATCGAGGGAGTAGTGAAGAAGACGAAGAACATCCGGCTCCGTGCCCACCTCTTCGATTCCGCTGTCCTTCCTGCCCTAACCTACGCCTCAGAGACTTGGACTCTGCGCAGGCAGGACGAGCATGCGGTCAGCGTTATCCAACGCGCTGTCGAGAGGACGATGCTAGGAGTAACCCTATACACGCAAGTGCAGAGGGGAATCCGGAGTTCGAACTACGCCAACGATCGAAGATCAGGGACGCTGCCGTTTTCGCCAAGGAATCGAAGATAAGGTGGGCCGGACACGTCATGCGATTTTGCGATGACCGTTGGACCAGCATGGCTGGACTGGATCCCTCGGGACGTCAAACGAACACCTGGACGACCGCCGGCCCGATGGTCAGACTTCTTCACGAAAGCTCTGAACGAAAGGAATGAAGGACTTCGTGTCCCTCGAGCGAGGAGGGTCCACTGGACAACTCTTGCACGCGACAGGGACGAATGGAGACGTTGCTGGCGCCCGCTCGAGCAATTCGATGATCAACGGGACGACAGGTGATACAGGTGATATAATATAACAAATGGAAGAATAAAGATAAGTCATATCACTGTGCGTTTCGAATTACTATAAATATCTTGATGTTTCATGGCATCCGTATCGAATCTGAACGATGTATCAATATCTAGTGCAGAGAATAGAACTGTTTTTGAAACCAATAAATACACAGATTCCCAAAAGTTCATTTCTGATGGACCCATTGTTGTTATGACAACTTCCAAAAGGGAAAGGCACAATGCTGCAATATTAGGCCCATCCTATAAAGAACAACGGTATTGACCTTAGAACATAAAAACACTATTGCCCCTACTCATCCCGAATCTCATGGGGAAAGTGCCTCACCCTTCTGCGACTCATTTCGTTGATTGTATCCCTTTGCGGGATCCCACCGTATCTAGAATCAATTAGAATATGGGAGCATGAACCACGCTCGCATAGTGAAGCACAGTATGACTTCGAGCTTCTTAACAGCTTCAATCGTTCTCTTTAAATGGAGCCTAATCTTCGGGCGCAATAGCTCACACATTCCTTTGTGCCTTCAAATCTGCTATTAAGCTTCAAGTGGAATTCCCACAGAACAGGATTGTAAAAAAATTGAAAATTCAGAGTCGTTGTACATCTTAAAAAACACTCACTTAGAGCAAAACTCTTTTCCCAATGAATTTCTCAATTATTTTTCGCAAGTACTAATGTCATCCTGCTTCCACTCCATGACGCAAATGACCCACCTCGTCGCATTCTTTCCGTGGAATACGAGTTGTACCATACATAAACTTGTACTGGCTCATATCAAACGGCGTCTTGCCAGCCATATCCTGAGGAATTTCGTTCCTGAAAAGAAAACAGAAATCATTCGCTTCTAGGGAGAAAAAACGTGGCAACTGCGAGCATGGCGCATTCCACAAAGACAAAACAACACTGCGCCTTTTTACACTTTTATTCAGGCTTGTAGTAGTACTTCCCTGAACTGGGCTGGTATATTTTCGAGTGATCTTTGTTCAAAAGGGAACTGAAGGTAGAAAGAAGTGAAAACTGAAAAAAAACTGATCATACCTGATAATTTTTAGGTAGAAGTCTACAGCAGCTTGGGTAATTTGTGCGGCATGATCAATCTGAGTGTCCTTGCCGCTGGTTGGTAACACGGGGAACATCAAACCTAAGAGGTGTGAGAGGATCAAACTCGTGGTCTCCCACAATGATGTCAGTAAAGCATACCGGGAGATGTGACAATCGGGAGTGGTGTACGTGCTTCCAGATAGGCGACTTTCAACCACCATGGTGTGAGCTGGAAGGGAGATGCATTGCGATTTGATTTGAATCACTAGGCAAAATGTTATAGGCACGGGTCGCGATTTTTTCTTGCGAGAATTTTTGTCCTTGAGTGTAGCAGGACCCCTAATTACAGGGCCGGTGGTACTGTTGCGACTTAAAAGCGCGCGACAAAGAGTTTATGCAGTTACTGAC